GGGGCAGTGAGGTCTCAGCGTTTCACAGGAGATCACAGGCTCAGGTGAACGGCTCTGGGCACCAGGTGTATGCCCACTGGATCATAGGTTCATGCTCAACCGCTGAGCCACGCAGGCCGGGCCAATTGTTCATTTTTTAAATGGTATTTAGGATTCTGACGCTTATTGGATGTATTTTCTCTCTTTATTTACAGAACCCACCAAGAAGCCGAGCTCAGGTGAGTCATCACCGGCCTGGGCACACCTGAGGCTCTGCTGGGATGATGCTTGGGGATGGGTATAGGGCCGTGACGTGTGTGTGTGAGGGAGATGTAAGTGTAGGCCAGGGAGCAGGTGTTAAAACCAAAGCCTGGTCACTGGGGACATGCTACCAGAAATCACATCGAGACATCACTACATTCCGGCTGGGGCCGCAGGTATCAAAGCATGAAAAACAGCAGGTGCTGGCGGAGACTTGGAGAAATTGGAGCCCTCGTGAGTTGCGGGTGGGAACGTCAAATGGGGCAGCAACTGTGAGAAACAGTCTAGAAGTTCTTAAAAAATTTCAACATGGAGTTACTCTAGGATCAGCAATTTTATACCAAGGAACTGAAAAGAGGGGTTCTAACAAAAATGTGTATGGATGTGTTCATAGCAACACTATTCAAAGTAGCCAAAGAAGTGGAAACAACCCAAGTGTTCATCCGTGAATGGATGTATGAACACAATGGGGGTTTATCCACACAGTGGAATATTACGCAGCCATGAAAAGGGGAAGGGCAGTTTTGCCCCTTGTTTTATGCATTAAAATCAAAATAGGAGACATAAGTGGGTCCCATGAAATCCATGGGTGACAGATGAGGGAGGGGGAGAAAGCAAAGCGGGGAAACCTCTGGGATTGGATAGAAAGTAAAATGATAGACACACTTCTTTTACTCAGGTGGGAGCAGGATAGTTAACAGTCAACAATTAACTCAATAACAATGAGGGGATTTGTAGTATCCACAGGGTGTACCTGGGCCCCGAGGGGTCCGGAAACGGGGAAATTACTCTGACATCCCAATGATATGTTACTGTAAATGCAAAAAGACAACAGACAGGCTCAGTTCAGGTAAAGATGGACATTTGTCAGAGGAGATACCAGCCTAAGACCTGACGACCCTCCATAAACTGCTTTTAGGTAGAAAGTTTTCATTTCAGACCATCCCGTGGGGTTCCTTTAGGCCTCTGAGTTTGCAAGGCCGCCCGCAGGCCTCCCCCAAGCTCATCAGGTTAGCACCCCTTTTTAGTCCACATTTTGCTTTTGAGTTTTATCTTTCCGGGGCTAAATGCTTTTCAACCAGTCGGTGGTAGCCTCTCACATGTGAGCAGCCAACGTGAATGAAACTACAGATTTTATAGAGTCACAGCAAAGTTCTCGTTTTCTACGCCGCTTCTCATGAAAGGAGATGTTTTTTTCTCTCGTTTAAAAAAGCAACATCTTTTCTCCCTGCAGACATCTACCCGAAGCCGAAACCCCCGTATCACCCGCAGCCCGGAAATCCTGACAACAGCGGAAGTAAGAGCGCTCAGCATTCAGAATCATTTCGACACGGGTTTGATGGACGTGGCCTTTTGCGCCCTAGTGTTGTTGGAAGATTCAGTTGGCGGGATTCCTCTGTCCCTAGTGGGAGTGAGGTTCTCGGGGTACAGCTGGAATGAGCATTTCCAGAGGCCCCCACAGGCGGATGAGATGTGGTAAAAGGCTGGCTTTATGTTCCTGGAATGACATCCCTGGGTTTGCAAAGTCCAGTCCTGGGAGAGGTGCAGCTGGGGTTTCAGCAGAGCTGGAAGCAAAGCCAGTGTCTGCATGACCTAGTCTCCCCCTCTGCTTCTTTCCTGTTAAATAATAACCACGTTATGACAATGGCATGAAGTTCTACCTGCATTGCTCCTTTTATGATATTTGTCCCCAGCTTCTGCAGTGTTTAAAAACTTGGCAGACACGGTTCCCGTAGATTCTTTAGGGGGGAGAAAAAAGAATCGGGAGCAGGGACATTGGCCTTTGTGTCACTTGTTCCTTAAAATCATGTTGGTTGTTTTCCAACAGATATTTATCCAAAACCGAAACCGCCACCCCCTCGCCCACAGCCTGGCTACCCGGATGGTGGAGGTAAGACGGTGCCTATAAGGGTGTATTTCAGAAACTAAGCATTGGGTACAATGTATGCTCTGGGTAAGGCCTGTGCCTATTAGGGTACATTTCAGAAACAAAACATTGGATACAATGTATCCTCTGGGTAAGACCCCTGTCTATTAGGGCACATTTCAGAAACAAAACATTGGGTACAATGTATCCTCTGGGTAAGACCCATGCCTATTAGGGCACATTTCAGAAACAAAACATTGGATACAATGTATCCTCTGGGTAACATCCATGCCTATTAGGGTACATTTCAGAAATAAAACATTGGATACAATGTATCCTCTGGGGATTCTATCCTGGATGGTGGAAGGCCCATTGCTTTGAAATACTCAGACAGGATCCTGTCTGCCCACCACCCCCCCCCGGCTTGGGGCTACACTGACAGAAAACATTTAATTTTCTTTTGGGTTAATGGCCTAAAAAATGCACCCTGTTCCAAAGACTCTTCATGTTCTCCTTGAGGAGGGCGATTCTTTCTTTGTGTTTTGTTATCTGTTTGGGTGTTTTGTTGAGGTTATTATTATTTTTTAAAATTTGAATTAAAAGGATTTAGTGAGTTCTGATATTCCAGAACCACACCTCTGGCCCTGTAAAGACTTTATCTGTACAGCAAAGACAGTCATTTTTAATACCTTAAAGATTGGCAAATGTTAACAAAGGACTAACAAAATCATTTACCCATTTTTGAAGTGTTTCTTTCCATCTGGGAGGTTATGTATTTATTTTTTAAGTACAGTTGACATCCAATATTATATTAGTTCAATATTATATTATATTAGTTCAATATTATATGCTGTACATAGTGGTTAGAAATCTATATACTTTACAAAGGGTTCCCCCCTCTATTTCCAGTACTCATCTTATACATAGTTATTACAATATTATTGACTATATTCCCTGTGCTGTACTTTACACCCCCAGGACTATTCTATAACCACCAATCTGCACTTCTCAATCCCTTCCCCTTTTCCACCTGGGCCCTCACCACCCTCCCATCTGGGGATCATCAGTCTGTTCTCTGTATCTATGAGTCTGTGTCTTTTTTGTTTGTTTGTTTGTTTATTTTGTTGTTTAGATCCCACATGTAAGTGAAATCATATGGTATTTGTCTTTCTCTGACTGGCTTTTTTCACTTAGCACAATACCCTCTAGGTTGGTCAAGTGTTGGGTTGATCTTTGCTTCTCTCTTTCTCTTTATTGTTGACAGTATTACAGATATTTCCTATTTTCTCCCTTTTTACCCCCCTTGTGTCTCTTTACATGAGCCCTTGGGGGTCTCATTGCTGAGTCCCTGCAGTATTTCTCCTGAGATGTTACTGAACCTCACATAAATGAGAACACCGATCAGGGAAGAGATGCCCACCCTTGGCCCTGGCCGGGTAGTTCAGTTGTCCCAATATGCCAAAGTTGTGGGTTCGATCCCTGGTCAGGGCACATACAAGAATCAACCAATGAATGCATCAGTAAGCGGAACAACAAACCGATGTTGTTTCTCTCTCTCTTCCTCTCTCTAAAATCAATCGATATTTTTATTTATTTAATTATTTTATTTTATTTTATTTTATTTTTAAAATATATCTTTATTGATTTCAGAGAGAGAAAAGGAGAGGGAGAGAGAGAGATAGAAACATCAATGATGAGAGAGTCATTGATGGAGCCCCCAACCCGGGCATGTGCCCTGACCAGGAATTGAACCCCGATGGCCTGGATCCCAGGTCGACGCTCAACCGCTGAGCCAAGGCCCGGCCGGGCATTAATCGATATTTTTAAAAATAAAAAATATAAGAGAAAATAAAAGAGATGCCCACCCATAAAAATGGAAGAGTCCCAGCCATCATATGGGTGGGCACATGTAGAGCAGTGATGGGTGTTGGAAAAAGTTAAGATACTCTGGGTATCTGATCTACCTGCCTTGGCGACAGGGAGTTTCCCAGATTCACTCATGTTATATGGATATCAGTTTCCTAGGGTCCAAAACACTCCGTTATGTCCAACTAGACAACCTCCAGATGTGTCCACTGGCCACGGCCTGCCCCTCCTGCAGGTCTCGGGTCTTTGTCTGCGAGACCCCACCTCCCCATCCCAAGAAGGGCCTGCGGGGTCGAACCTGTTTCCCATCACCTGTCCCCGGGTCCCTCACCTGAACCTGGGGGCTAAGAGGGCTGCCTGGAGAGCGTTTGAGGAAATGACCCTGTGTTTTATCCCACAGGTTACATCAGCGATGGGGACGGCGGCCGCTACCCACCCAGGCCTAGGCCCAGGCCACCAGCAGGTACCGGGGGGGCTTCTCTGACCAACTGGGGAGGGTGTTGGGAGCCCAAGGCCCCCAGCCTGGTGCACGGTCAGCCCCTGTGGGAGATGCAGGTGCAGGTGCTCTTGTCCTACCTCACCTCTCAGGGTGTGGGCCGTGCGTCCGTCCATTCTGGAAGTTTGGGACATGGCCTCAGGTGACACCTGCTGGAACCCCGCGCCCTGCAGGTGAGACGTTTCTCACATCCACCTTCTTTCACACAGGAGGCGGTGGCGGTGGAGGTGGCTATAACCCCGGTAATGACGGCTATGGAAACTCGCACGGTACACCCAGCTCTGAGGCTCTCCGGGTGGGCGGTCGATTTGGGGAGCACATCCAGGGCTTGCAGTTGGGTTCCCCAGAATCCCTTCTCCCCGAGGTCTTGGGTGTTGGGTGGTCCATCTTCTGAGCCCTGTCTACTCTGACCCTCTGCTGCTCTCCTATCTCAGCTTCAGGAGCTCAGGTGCTCCCCACATACCTGTGTCTAGGTCGAAAGAAACAGAGAGAGCCCTGGCTGGTGTGGCTCAGTGGTTGAGCATCATGCCAAGCACCCAAAGTTCTCCGGTTCGATTCCTGGTCAGGGCACATGCTCGGGTTTCGAAGCTGGATCCCCAGTAGGGGGTGTGCAGGAGGCAGCCCATCAATGTCTCTCTCTCACATCGATGTTTCTCTTTCTTCCTCCCTCTCCTTATTTTTTCTCTAAAAATCAGTAAAAATATATTGAGGGGAAAAAAAAAAGACACAGAGATAGAACATGGAATAAATTGAGGAGTTCTTTGCTAAGCAGAAAAGGAAAGAGAAACACTTCAGGGCTGTGGATTCCACCAAATTAAAAGGAGCTTTTCACAGGAGCAATGAACAGGGTCCTTCTCTAGACTGAGCTTCCCTGAGATCAACTGGTGGACCTGCAGGTCCTCAGACGTTCTCTGGTTCTGTAATCGGAGATGGGGAGCCAAATATCACGGCTGAGAAAAGAAAACACTACAGATTTATTTTATTTTATTTTTGGTTGATATATAACTGACGTTACACTCTTTAAAAGTTTCAGGTGTGCAACATAGTGAGTTGATATTTGTGTATATTGCAAAATGATCCTTCCCCCCCAATAAGTCTAGTTAATATCTGACACCTCACATAGTTATAAATTTTTCTGTGTTTAAGACCTACTCTCTTAGAAACTTTTAAATATTCAATACAGTTTTGTAACTATATAATATAGTGTAATATTAACTATAGTCACCACTCTGGTACTTTTATTTTATTATTTTATTTTATTTATTTTATTTTATTTTATTTTATATTTTATTTTGTTATTATTTTGTTANTAACTATAGTCACCACTCTGGTACTTTTATTTTATTATTTTATTTTATTTTATTTATTTTATTTTAATTTTATATTTTATTTTATTATTATTTTGTTCNTTTATTTTGTTATTATTTTGTTAATTCTAATCCGGGGATATTTTTTCCATTGATTTTTAGAGAGAGTGGAAGGGAGGGGGAGAGAGAGAGAGAGACATGGATGTGAGAGAGACCCATCGATTGGGTGCCTCTTACACTTNATTTTTTCCATTGATTTTTAGAGAGAGTGGAAGGGAGGGAGAGAGAGAGAGACATCGATGTGAGAGAGACCCATCGATTGGTTGCCTCTTACACTCGCCCTGACCAGAGCAGGGATCGAACCTGCAACCCAGGTACATGCCCTTGACTGGGAATCGAACCCGAGACCCTTCCATGCATGGGCCCAACACTCTAACCACTGATCCACGCCAGCCAGGGCCTGGGACGTTTAAAAAAATAATTTGAAGTTTGCGTTTTTTGACACCTTTCATCCACCAATCAATCTATGGATTAATTTTAAAGTATTGTTATTATTAATAATTTTATTTGTTGTTTACCATTTGGTAAGAGTTTCGAACATCTTCAGTTAATTGAGAAACTATTTTGGGTTGATATGTATATATCTTTTTAAAATATGTTTTTATTGATATTTTTTTAGAGAGAGAGGGAGGGAGAGGGAGAGAGAAACATTGATCGGCTGCCTCCTGCACGCCCCCTAGTGGGGATCGAGCCCACAACCGGGCCTGTGCCCTGAGCGGGAATTGAACCCTGACCTCCTGGTTCATAGGTTGACTCTCAACCCCTGAGCCAAACCTGCCGGGAGAAAACAATATTTTTATAGAACATTTCCAACGTGGGCAGCCCTTCTTGGATTGTGGTCACGTTAAACTCTGTCCTTGGGGATCATTACTCAGTTTTACACAATAAAGGCCATCGTGATGCCCAAACCATCTCCACTGGAAGGGGGAGGCCTTTGTCACNTTATTTTTAATTTTTATTATTTTATAAGTTTTAATTTCATTATTTTATATTTTATTTTATTATTTTATTTTAAAATTTTAATTTTATTTTCATATTTTATATTTATTTTATTATTTTATTTTATCATTGGCACTATTACAGATGCCCTCCAGTTTCCCTCTCTTTCTCCCCTCCTCTCCCAGGCCTTCCCCACACTATCATCTGTGTCCATGGGCTGTGCACAGATGCATAGAAGTTCTTAGGTTAATCTCTCCCCACCCCCTTCCCTCTGAGCTCCCTCCGTCTGCTCCATGCTTCC